GATTCATATAATTTAAATAAAAAAAAATTCATCGAATTTGATTAGTTGGTTACCAAAATATTTTGATTTTGTTTTAAAAATTTTTATTTTTCTGTTCTAAAAATAATGGGCTGCGAGGCGTAGATTACACTATAATGCACGCATCAAGAACGTAAATCAATTTTGGGGTACATTTTAGGCCAGGCCCACAACCGCAGATCTATCAAAAACGATACTTTTTACCGTAGGTCGTCCGTTACATTCGATAGCTGTTGAGCACGTGTCGGCGATCCCATATTCGTTCAGTAGTTTGTGCAATGTTTGCCACCACACACCAGGATGAATTATGATTGAGTGACAAAATTTATTTGCATATTGAATTTTGAACTTGGGTTTATTATTAATAAATATCAATTTAAGCGTTGTCTATCTATTTTTAAAATGAGAAAAATTCTTTTTGCATGCGTTCATTAGTTTGTAGGCTTCTTTACATGAAGTTCTTTTCGTTTCTAGTAGCATTAAAACGATAAATCTTTTTAATAAATATCCATTTTTGATTGGCTAATTATCACTGGATTCCCAATCAAATGAAATATCTTCCATGAGTTCATTATTCCGAAATTTCCCTAAAATAGACGTACGTACGTATGCATATAGGGGCAGCGTCAACTAAAACAAGGTTTTTGCAAAAATGAGTTGACTATACCATCATATAAAGCAGGGATTTTCTATATAATTTGACATTTCCGATGCTTACTTTTTGAAATGCTGTATACGGATTAAACATGATCTAAAATTAGAATTTGGATATACTTGCTACAGTGTCATGGAAAAGGATTTGTGTGATTAGCTAGCAAATGTCGATCCAACAGATATACTAAAAATACCCCGATCACTATATCAAGATCATGGGGTATTTAGCAAAAATACCCTGATCCGTATGTGTACAAAATAATGTTTCGGGCGAAGCCAAATATTTCACTAAATCCGAATCCGAAATTTGGGCGATACTAATTTCGCCCAGCATGCAAATTTACGAAATGTCTGACAAAATCCACAATTGCCCATATATTAGACTCAATCCAAAGAGTCCGAAATTGTCCGAAGATATGATTGGTCATGTTTAAAACGTGATTCAATAGTGTGAAATTTTTTTTGGGTGCATAATATTGTAATTTATATGTTAATTAGACAATTGCACATACGGGGAGCTTCGCTGCCCAGTTTCCACCGCTGTTAAACTTTCCAAAATCGATAAGCATAGTTGACAGATTTTGTATCAGTATTGAGGTCATTCGTTTTGATAACATTATAAACTATTTAATTCACCAAGTCTGTTTTCGCTATAAATCTAATAGTTTATAATATTTTCAAATCTGATGACCTTTCAATACTAATACAAAATCTATCCACCATGCATGTCGGTTTTGGAGGGTTTAGTAGCATTTAAATTCGTGAATATTTTTCATTTTGTCACATTAACTACTTATGTATGTGTAAAGATCGTTAATGCACTTCGAATATGTATAAATAATTGGAACACAATATATCCGATTAAAGAATTGAAGGTTTCATTAAAAAATACATACTGTTAAACCTCCAAAACCGATATGCTTGGTGGACAGATTTTATATCAGTATTGAGATTTGAAACATTATTAGATTCAAATAGCGGAAATAGACCTGCTGGATTAATTTTTTATGAGATTTGACAGGTTATCAACATTTGCAGGATCAACCTTTGCAGGATCGGTTTTGGGAGGTGCAACAGTGAAATAAGCTATTCAAATATAATAGTGCCACTCATCATTGTAATATTTAAATTTCGGATAATATCGGAAGTAATGGATTTGGAATTTTTATTTCGGATCACCTTATTAATTCCGAAATATTTCGGGAATGAAAAACTATTTCGCCCGAATTTATTACTAATAGATCATCATTGTTATCGTTACACCAAATTTAATCGTAATTTTCTCAAAATAGAAAAAAAGCCATGCGTAACGATAAGCCTTATCGTTATATTCATGCATATAAATGGCATTTAGACATGCCTATGGCATGCCCGTGACTGCCATGCCACCCACCCTAAAGAGCAAACTCTTCACTAAATTTAAATTTTTGAAGCGAGCCTGAGGAACTTTCACAGCGTACGCAAATCATTCCCTTTTTTGCTGCATCATTTATGATCGCAGTGCTGCAGTGTAAATTTAAAATGTATTTCGAATTTATAAATATAGACATTAAATGTCAACTAAATTCAGATTATAACTGTGCTATTATATGAACTATAAATACATTACGTAGCAAACAATTTATTCATTAACAACTTTGTTTCGTAATGACAACATTACCAAGTGAATGTTTTTTTGAAATATTCAATAACCTTAAATATCGTTATGGAGATTTATTTTCAAGCCTTCTTGTAAACCGTCAATGGTGTAGATATGTAGTTCCAATATTATGGAACGACCCTTTATCACATTGTAAAGATAAGAAATTTAAGAAACTTTTGAGAATATACCTCCTGTCATTGAGTGCTGAAGAAATAGCGTTATTGGTTCCATTAAATATATCACTTCCAAACAAACAAAAATTATTATTTGAATATACATCTTATACTACATCGATTAACTACTATAATTTAGAGAAAGGAATCTTATACTGGCTTTGGGAAGGACATGAACCTTGTAACTATGACGAATATAAAATATATCTAAATGATTATAATAAGAAATATCTGGAATTTAAGAATGTGATTCAAATAGTTAAATGTTCTTTAATTGCAATGTTTTTACGGACAAGTGAAAAAATTAAATACGTAAATATATATGAAATTAATGATAACAAAGTAGTAAAGATACTATTAGAAACCCTTTATAAGAACACCACTATTACTTCATTAGACCTTTCTCGAATTAAATTTAGTTATGAAGAGATAAGAACACTTGCAGGTATTATGTGTAAATATAATTGCCTAATATCATTAAAACTTCATGATTGCGGACTTGGTTCTGAGGAGGCAAAAGTATTATCGGAGGCCCTTAATAAGAATAAAACTCTGACCTCTCTCGATCTTTCTTTGAATAAACTTGGTGATGAAGGAATAAATGCATTTGCGGAAGTTCTTTGCAAAAATACCACTCTGATCTCTGTAGAATTCAGATGTAATGGAATTACTTTTGTAGGTGGAAAAGCTCTTGCAGCAATACTTTATGAAAATACTACTTTAACTTCTTTAAACCTTGGTGGTAATAGGCTTGGCACTGAAGGTGGAAAAGCAATAGCAAAAGCTCTTTGCGAAAATACTTCTCTGACCTCATTGAATCTTTATTCTAATAATCTTGGTTTGGAGGGAATAAAAGTGATAATGGAAGCACTTTACAAAAACACTGTTTTAAATTCTCTAAATATTGGAAATAATAGGACTGGTTTTGAAGGAGTAAAAGTGGTAGCAGAAGCTCTAAGTAATAACATTGCTTTAGCCTCTTTATCCTTTAATGGAAGTCAACTTGGTAATAATGAAGGCAAGATGTTAGCAGAAGCACTTTGTAAAAACACTAATCTAACCACCTTGTTTCTTGATGATAATCAAATTGATTCTGAGGGAGAAAAAGAGATAAACGAAACTCTTAGCGGAAATGTTACTTTAGCTTCTTTAGGTTTAAAAGGGGGTAGGATTATTCATAGAAACTCTATATAAAATATTATTTGGTTTTTTTTTATATAAAAATTATTTGTTTTAATTGATTTAATAAAAATATTTATAAAAAAATAAATTTTAAATTTTGTATTATTGATTTAAACTCATTGAAGCTATGCTTTATAGTAAACATTTATAATCTAAATGCTGTATTCGGATAATATGAGTGCCGAAAAAGTAAAACTGTCATCGGACCTCAATTATATTTTGTAAAAGTTATCCATCTATGGAAAATCTATCATCTTGATAGATACTCGATAGACGGCTAACTGTACACAATATATAATTGAAAGTCATATGAAATTTTGAAAAATTTTCGAAGATTTCTCTGTAACTACTTGATTAAACTCAGTACTGTATAATTTTTTTTTATTAAATTCTAAACTTTTGTATAATTAAAATAAAACAAAAAAATTGAAATTTGATAGATGGTTGTTGAGAAATCTTCACTAAAATCTTAAAAACATTCAAATTTTACAAAAAAATCGGTCATTTATTTATTTTTTTAACTTTAAATGCCAACCATAGATTAAAATTCGATGAAAATATTTTGATTTTAATTTTGTAAAGTTATAGAATTAAATCGTAAGATAATGTGTAATATAAATCGAAAAAAATAGCAATGTTTCTAAAAAATCGCTTTACTAAACTTTGCTTATGAAACTACCTTTCGTATTCTAACAAAAAAAAATTCCTCATAAAATTTTGGGCTACAGCCTTTTTTGCTAAAATGCCCTACCCTAACCCCTAAATTAACGTATTAATTTATTGTTTTGATTTCACGTCACACAACGCATATGCGCCAAAAGATAAAATTCTGAATAAAAATAAAAATTTATTATTAAGCGATATATTTATAAAATTTCTGTGGAGCAAGCATGTTTTTAAAATTTCATTAATGTTGGGTTAAAGTTTAAAATAAGGTTAGAAGTCTGTAATTAATTATATAGTAAAATCGCATACTAAAGTGGTTCATGTAGATTTGAGAATTTTTTTTGCAAAAATTCCTGATAGTATTACGTTATACCTGATCTTAGTCTGATTTATAGTTCGGGAAATAAAATTTTTGACCACTCAAAACATTAAGTAATAAATGTCAACACCTCTTACTGTACTATATAAAGAAGTGGGTCAGGAAACTTTGTTTATACACAAGTAAAGTATAGTTCAATAAAGTATTAGATTTCCTTGATAAATTTAAAATTTTTTAGAGTCATAATATTGACCTGTGTTTTCGACCAAAAAATTTTGATCAACTTTGTCGTGTTCGAATGAAAAACTTCAACTGTATTAACCCAGCTTCTTTCGTACTAACTCCTTTACCATTTAACAAAATAGGAACCCCTATCAATGTCAAAAATCGATTTTGGATTCAATAAGCCTGTCTTAGGATTAACTTCAGGAAGCACATCGTATGTTTGCCTTCGAATTCCTAATCGTTCCATAGCTGCCGTAATATCGACAGTCCCACGACGAAAGTATCATTATTAGCATGAGTATGTTTAGTATTACGCCACATGGCAGCAAGGCCAGCAAAATGAGGTGAAGTTACTGATGTCTGAGCAGTCGCATTTTTCAAGTCAATAAATACTCTAATAGCGTATGGTCCAAATAATTTACCCGTTTTTATAGTCAACTTTACGAAAATCTGCGCCTATAATAAGGATCAGGTTTATAAAGTTTAAGAAGATGCGCGTGTAAATTTTTAGGATTTTGACCTTTAAACTTTGCTACTTGAGGGTATGTATACCCAAGTTTTTCTATATCTCGAATATCCGAAGATTTCTAGAATTCTGATTTTGTCTTTCTGAATGGTGTTAGATCTGTATTTTCATCTATTATTGTGTTCATTTCTTCGGTATAAGTTCCGTTTATATCAATATTTTGTTGAATCCAACTATCAGGAAGTCTATAGTTAAAAAATCAATTAAACTTATTATTCTTTAATGTTTACTTATTTAAAATAAAGAATAATACTAACACTCCTTTCCAAAGTGCAAAAGACGATTCATGTTTACATGATGGAAATAGAATACTGGATCAAATGAAGCTATATCTGTATGAGCCATATGACATCCAGGACCGCCGATTATTAAATGAAAAGCATCGTGAGTTGTTTCAATTGATGCAAAATGTGATGCACCAGCAACTTTTAAAGGACTCGGATGATCTGTATCTAAATTTCCCATTTGTGTATCATCTGATCTCACACCATGATTGCTAAAATGCAGGTAGTTACTAATATGAAACGTTTAATATACTCCGGGCCTAAATACTGTAGAAACATACACGGACACATTTTGATTTAATAAAATTTAATAAACCATTTTGATCATAGTTAGAATTAGGATATCTGATAGTAGGATAACCAGCTGTTGTAAATGGAATATGTTTCCTGTTGGAAATTTTATAATTGGGTTTATCAGTTGGATTTTGACCTTTTTCAATGGGGTATGATAGATTAATCGGTAAAATATAACTTTTTAAGGGATTTTTGACTTTTTTTCTTGCCTTGTGATGTATTTATTTCGATTTCAGGTGTAAGAATATTTCTGAAACACCTTTTATTGCTTTTTCATCTGCCCAATCCCAATAGGGATGGCGAAGTTGTTTTGCCGCTTCAACATGCTTTTATTTTTCGTTATCCGGGTATTGTAAAGCAATTTGTTTACTTCTTTAACTAATAATGATTCAATTAAAAGAATTAATGGTCTATGCCATGGTGCAAATAAAATATCTCCATGATGACAATATCCACCCCAACGACCTTTTACCCATTCTGACTGATTATTGTATTCATGTTCACCAGTTACACCATCATAGGCCGTATAAGGTAACCCATGAATTCCAGCAACCTGATAATATGATCGCATATATTCATAGGGGCGATCATAGATTGATTGATAACTTTGAACTAACAAATCGAATTGTGGTCTGTATGTTTCATTACCATAGAAATCCAAAATGTCCAAACGCGGGTACAAATCTGGAAATGGTTCGACAATAATTGGTGCACTTCTTACGTGAGAAGAATGATAATTTGAAGAGTGACTTAATCCCATATTTTTAATATTATTATGTTTTTCTTTAATATGAGAATTATCTTTGAGGAAAAATAGCCATCCTCATATTATTTGTTATGAAGTTATAAAGTGCTAAAATTTATTTTTTTTAAAACTATATTGTTTCACACTCGAAGAATTTTTTAAACGTCAGTATTTAGAAATTAAATGCCGTTTTTACATCAATGCAATTATTTAAAGATCTATGCGTCAGCAATTAAAACTTTTGTAAAAAGTCACAGATGCGTATCATAAGACATCCATAATAGATACGTACCTTTATGCGCAAAAATCAAATTTGCATATTGAGCTATGTCTGATTTCTCACCGTTACAGAGACATCACATAAATGACAATTTAATAATGATATATACCTACAACTAATCATACGGGGTTACGTCAATTAAAACAAGGTTTATGGCATTTTTTGCAAAAATGTGTTAATTCTTCTATATAATTTGACTTTAAAGCATTTTTGTTTACATAATAAAATTTTTGTCGATTTGGCATTTAGAATTTGGATATCCGGTTGTCGATCCTTGCTGCAGTTGTAGTTAGTATTAGGGATGGGTTCGGTTAGGCTGTAGCCGGCTAGCTGACCGGCTATAGCCGTAGTCGATGATAGTCGACTAGATCGGCTTAGCTGACCGGCTAGCCGATA